CAGAAATCCATGTGCTGTGACTACCATGTAGCCCTGGACACAAGTAAAGAATCAATTTGCGAAAAAAGAGTGGGCTTCAGTGTCAGAAAGCACCTCATGTGTGATTCTCACTCAGGACAGTTTTGAGGATGTCACAGGTTGGCGGGACCTCTCCGTTAGCCTAGGGACGTCTGCCTACTTCCCCGCCCATCCTTCCCTGTGGCCACAGCAGTCCTGGGGCCTCCTCTTCCCCTTGCTTGGCTCAGCTTCACCTGGGTGGGTGGCCATTACATTTATGCCTGGTGGAGGCTCCAGCGATGGCATGCTCTGGGCTCCCAGGACAAAATAACCGTCCACAAGCACCTTGCTCCTGTGGTCAGCCGAGGGCCTTCTTTGAAAGGTAGTGTTTGCTTGGAGATGCTGCCAGCTCTCCTTCTGCATGTATGTGCGGTTACAGTGTCTGGCAGAGGGCTGGTGCAGAGTCAGGGGAGGCTGAGGCCTCAGGGGTTTCAAAGGCACATTTAATGCAATAATTGGATTTTTTTTTTTGTACTGGGGATTGAATCCAGGGCTACTTAACCACTGAGAAACTAACCAACTTATTTATTTATTTATTTATTGAAAATTTTGAGACAGGGAATAATTTGCTTAGGGTCTCAATAAATCGCTGAGGCTGGCCTTGAACATGTGATCCTCCTGCCTCAGCCTCCCAAGCTGCTGGGATTATAGATGTGGGCCACCATGCCCAGCTTAATGCAATATTCTTAAAGATTAAAATGAATGTAAAACAATCCATGATGAACAAATACAAACCTTTTAAAGAAAGGTAAACACAGACAGGTAGGACCCTGGGAGGGCTTGCTGCCTCGTCTGGTGAGAGCCCCGAAGGGAACAGCAAGCCAGCCCTGAGTTCTGCAGAGATCCGGGACAGGCAGCCCCTGGGCTCTGCCCCAGTCTGCAGACGCAGCCTACCGCAGTCTATCCCAAACACTTGAAGCAGCCCACATTGGATGGCAGAGAGCTCCGTGGGCCACCCCAGGGCCGGCGGGATTCCTGAGGACGTCACGAGGCTGCCCAGGCTGCCCAGGGGCGTCCTTCAGAGCCCAGCAGGCCAGGCCTCCTCCCAGGGCTGTGTCCTCCTGCTCCTGTTGACTCGCGCGTCCACCCTCAGGTCTGTCTTTCAGGGCTTGCTACTGCGCCCCTCCCCTGACCCAGGCAATGGCAAGGCCCTACTGAGGTGGATGGCGCAAGGCGTCCATCCTCGGAGGAGCGCAGCATGTTTCTGGGAATGGGCTGGTTTGTTTTTGAATTCCTTTAATAAGTACAGTTGCGACTTCTCATATGACCGTGAAGTATGAAGGAAAAAACATGACTTTCCCAATTAATGCAACTACTTCTAAAGAATGGATCTGTTTGCTCTAAATGCGATGATTCAGCTGTGGATCGTAAATTGTTAATGTCTAATGAAAAACTCCCTGTATTCCTGTCAAGGAAGTTTTTGAGAAATTAAATTAAAATCTAGAGAAGAAGAATTAATGTTAAGAAGACAGATTAGTGCTTGGTACTGGGCTACTTGTTCTTGTTCCTGTGCACAATGGTTTGTGCTCTTACTCTTGTTTGATTAAAATTAATAACAAGTCAACCACTTGCCATAACCATGGCACCAGTTCCAGTCAGTAAGTCAAGAAAGAATAGTCAAGGTATAGGCCAATAGTTTGGGGCATTTCTAACTATTATTAAAAGTTAACTAAGCAGAAACAGCTCAAAGCAAAACGCGAACTGAAAGTACAAATGCTTGCTTATGCGTAAGCCAAGAGACATTCTTCTATTCTAATTGTAGCTACGTAATATTTTGTTTCTTTGAATAGTGATTCCTGTTTTGTAACCACAAAGTCCTGTGAGCCTGCCAAAATGAAAAGTATATATGATCGACTTCACAAGTAGAGATTGGGATCAGCACCTTCACTTTGGTGCCTGTGTTGTTTCTCCACCCCCCTTTCGCCGACTCCTCACTATCCGTTCGTCTCCTGAGACCCCCTGTTGGAGCTGGTCTCCGACAGCCTGCCACCTCTCGGCCCTTGCGACTGGCCCAGCACAGGGTCACCTGGCCCTGTTCTTGTAAATGAACACCGAGGTCATCTCCAGTGGGGACACGGCGCCCTCCTGCAGGACGGGAGCGCATGTGGGGCTCCTGGACTGTCCCAGCCGGGCCACCCTCCTTTCTTTGGCTTCTCTTGCAGCCGCTCATCCGGGAGTGCCCACACTGGTCTCAGCCTCGGTCTGCCTCACAGCCTGACCCTAGGTGCTGGCCACGTCATAGACGGACTGGGGACTTGTGGATGCTGAAAACATACGTTGCCCAGGACAGCCTTCGAGCTGCCCTGCCTGGGCGAAGCTGACGAGAGCTCGCAGAGCCGGTGCCGACCCCTGGCCCATCCCTGCCCCTCCGCAGCCCAGCGGAACCACAGTTTTTCCTGCCTGCTTAGGAGGAAGGGGCAGGGGCTCCTAGCAAGAGCCTGGATTCCAAGCAGCATTAGCCGCCCTGAGTGGCTGTGGCCACAGCACCTGGACAGGAGCGTGCTGGACAAGGCCATTCCCTGAAAGCTCTCCCGCCAACCATGTTGGGGACACCAGGACCAAACATCTTGCTGCAGAACCGGCACGGTCCCGTGAACCCCGTGAACTCCGCGTTCTGTGCGCTGTCTCTCACACTCCAGCACGGCACGCAACTCACAAGGCCCACCCCAAACTGTGCCCAGCAGACACTCCACAGTGGAGCATTCCTCCAGGTGGAGACTCCAGGCCAGGATCCAGGACGTGGCCGTAACAGCTGCAGCCACCACCTGCCACCCCTTTCCCTCACCCTGGGTTCCTGTGTCTGGGATGCGCTTGGGATGCAATGTCCCAAGGCTGCCCTCGCCGGGAGCTGAAGCCACCTGGTAATGAGCCTTCTAAGAGGCTGGTCTCGGAGGCCCTGTCTCCAGGACAGACTGCACACTGTATGTAAACGGGGACTGACACAGGGGACTGAGCCCTGGAGGTGTCTTCCAGGTCCTTGTGCAGCAGCATTAGGTCATCTACGGTAGGTAGGGAAGGGACAGCGAGGGGACAGGCAGAGCCAACGCACAAACCTCCCTAAGGCCCAACACAACTTGTAGTCAAGTCCTATGGTTCCTTCTTTCTTTGGCCATAAGAGAATATTAAATGAGAAGGAGTCGCTTCTATAAAAGTTTCTTCAATTAGTACCTAAGTTTTGTATCTGTGCAAGTTAATTTGTTATACTTTATGGGCTGTCTTAAAAATATACTGACATCTAAGGAATAATGAAAATGTGGTACATACAAACAATGGAATACTACTCAGCCGTCAAGAATAAAATCGTGGCATTTGCTGGTAAATGATAGAACTGGAGACTATCCTGCTAAGTGAAACAAGCAAGCCTATCCCAGAAAACCAAAGGCCAAATATTCTCTCTGATATGCAAATGCTAACACAAAATAAGTGGGGGTGGTGTGGGGATCAGACAAAGGGGAATGAAGGAAAGGGAGGGGAGATGGGAATAGGAAAGACGATAGGATGAAGTGAACATCACTTTCCCGTGTTTATACATGAATACACGACCAGTGTCACTCCACATCACGTACTACCACGTGTACATGTGACACGTCAAAACACTTTCTCTGTCATATATAATTAAAAAGAACGAATAAAAAAGTAAAATATTTTAAATAAAGAAACTGTTGGAAAATAAAACAAAAACAAACTATATATATATACATATATATTATATATAGGCATCCGCTTCCAGTAGGAATTTTTAAAAGGATACCACTTACTACTCTACTGTTTATTCCACAGGGCCTCCGACATAATTGTGAAAGCATCTTTTTTTTAATGTTTTTTAGTTGTAGGTTGATTGATTTTTACGTGGTGCGAGGATTGAACCCAGGGCCTCACACGTGAGAGGCAAGGGCTCTACCACTGAGCCCCAGCCCCAGCCCCTGAAATCAGCTCCTCTATTCTAGCTGTATTCCAGGTACCCATCCTGCCCTGCACGTGACGTCTCTCTGTTAGGCTCCTGCCTGAGCTGGTGACTTAGCTTTGGGCTCTCTCCTCGCTGACTCTGAGAGCCTTGGAGCTCAAGGGTGGACCTTGAACACACAGGTGTCAGACTGCGGCAGGGAGCAGCGGGTGCTGATGAACACCTGCTGCGTTAACAAGCGCACGCCTGTGAGGGCGGGCATTCCCTTCCGAGTTAGCATCTGCCCTGGAACGAGAACTGGCAAAAAAAAATTGGTACCAGAAAATAAGGGGCTGAGCAGGAAACGGCTGTCGCCAACACCACATCTGCATGCTCCTGAACGCCCCCTTTCCAGCCCCCAGAAGTGTAACAGGCATTTCTGTGGGCTACAAACCACCCAGTTCGTGGTATCCTCCCACAGCCACTGGAATGAACTAGGACACCGTGCCTTACACCAGACCTGCAAACTGCCCTCAGAAATATGCGTGGCTCTGTCCCTTGCTTTACTGACATCACTTCTTGGCCCTGCGCTGAGCCTGGGGAGCAGCAGGCCTAGTAAAGCCCAGGCTGTGGGGCTGAGTCCCATAAGTGACTGGCAGGGAGGGCTGCACCCATCCCAGGCTGTGGAGGGGCCGTCCTGCCTATGGATGGAGAGTGTCTCCTTGGCACCCCACACTTCTTTCCTCTCCATTTACAGACTGGCTTCTGCTCCCAAGATGGGACCCGATAAGACGGCATTGGAGAAGTTCAGTTCTTTAGAAAATGTAAAACATTCCTATGTTTCCCCTGGGAGGAAGCTGAGATCTGCTACCTACAGAGGATAATTCAAGGTCAGGCTGTGGTTTGGGGATCATGGCTAAGCAGCTGGGGCCAACTGGTCATGTCTCCCGTGCTCGTGAGCAGTGGCACCTGCCTCCACGTGGCGTGGGGACTGCTGGAGTGGCCATCCCCAGAACCTTCCCTCCCCTGCTCCCCTCAACAGCTGGGGTCACGTACTCACCTTTGAGGACAGGCCTCTCACCAAGGCTGCGAATGTTATAGGCGGCACTGGACAGATGTGCATCTGGGATGAGCTCTGCCAGCAGGTACCCGGAGTACCAGGCGCACATGGAGGCAAGGACCAAGAAGGCAGCCTTGAGAGCACCTGGAACAAAGGTGGACGGTGAGCACTGACACGGGGTGCACCGGGCGCAGGTGCCAGCCCTCTCTGCCTGCACAGCCTTCCTTCCTGACCGTGAGGCACGGCCTGCTCTGAAGGGGACTTCCGGGAAGGCGGTGCTCAGAGGGGGAGGCCGTGGACAGGTGAGGACCCCTCAGCTTGCAGCGCTGGGATTCGATGCAGGTAGCAGATAACAGACAAGAGCCGTGTTGCCAGGGCAGGTTGCTGCACGGCTGCTGCGGTCGATGGGCCGTTGAGCACCTGGGGCCAGCACCACCAAGGCAGACCCAGTCACCAGTCAGATCCTAGACCTGCCCACTGAAATCTCTGAGAGCAGGTCTCGGTCTGTTGACTGTGGCTCCGTCTCTGTGCTGAGAACGCTTGGCACCGGTACACACGCTGTAGGTGAAGCCGGCCTGTGACGCTGGAAGAAGTCCCCACGTGCATCCTATTGTCAGGGACACCCGAGGGTCTCCAAGCAGCAAGTCCCTGGAGACACCTGTGCTGGAGAGCTCGGCGCTCTCTCTCCTGCTGTAAGAGTGGTGGCTGGAGCTCGGCACCCCCAGGGAAAGGCCTTGCTCCCCGAGTGCGGAGCCCGTGCAGCCCTCAGAAAGAGCACGGGCAAGGCCGGGAGGGAAAAGGGAGCAGGGAGCAGGGGGGCATGACAGGATGGGGGCCCCACTCCCAGCTGGTCAGCCGGGAGAGCGGAGGTCCCCAGACTCACAGGAGCTGTTTCTCCCCACCCAGAGCCTCGAGCAGAGACGAGGCTCCTCACTGTCTGGGCCAGCACACGTCCTCAGCCCTGTGAGTGTCCAGCCCTGGAAGCTGAGTTCAATGTTGAGCCTCCAGCACAGCAGCCCCTGGCTCCCTCCTGCACCAACCCTCTCCCCATGGGAGCCGAACCCTCCTGACCCGCTATCATTAGCCCTGCAGTGGGCCCAGGTTCCACTCTCCAGGGCCCGGCTGTGGTCCCAGACCCTTCCCTTAGCACTCAGAGGCCCGTTCATCCTGCAAGGACCCTGTGGCAGGAGTCCAAGCTCCCAGGGAGCCATGCTGAAGGACTGACGCGCCCGGAGCCCCTTGGGGTTTTGCTTTCCAGTATGCCTTTCAGTGCCAACACCTTTTCTGTTTTCAAACCACAGTCTCCAAGATTATTGGGACAATGTGCAGGGCTGGCTTTTGTTGGGACAGGCTGTAGCATGGCCATGTCTTTGCTGGGGATGAAGGGACATCTCAAAGCCAGAAGCAGCCACGGAAAACAAGATGAGGCTGAGGGCTTGGCAGGCCCTCTCTTGCACCTCCCCAGAGCCAGTCACTGTGGGCACATCACTGTCCCCAAATGCTCGGCAGTCCTCACCCCTTGGCCTGCAGAACACTCCCTCCATGCCGCCTGTGGCTGAGCCTGGTGGCACCCTGGGAACTAAATGGCAGGATGTTCTTGAAAGTTCTTTTGGGTGGACCGTGTGCATGGACAGGTGCAGGACATGTCCAAAGATAGCAATAGGTCACAGCTGGCCGATTTTATCCAAGTGGCTGAGAAGACAACTGGCACTAAACAACCTTCAGAGGGTCTTCTGGACCCTATCCCACAGCCTCTTGCACCATGAGCTGTTCAGAGCTTGGAGGAGACAGCGTCCCCTCCCCACGGAGGACACCAAGCACTGCCTGGAATGGAGGTACAATCTGGTCCTAGTGGACAAGGACACACAGGTGGATGTGACAGAAAGGAGAGCCAATCCTCACAGTGCGAATTTGACACCTTGAAAAGGTCGTCTGTGAGCGTCCTCCCCGGACATTTCTCAGCGTTCCCAGTGAGGCCGGAATCAGACAGGCAGACAGCGGGGGTCAGACCCAGAGAAGGAGGGACTGAGATGCTAACGTCTTCACAGTATCAAGAACCTGCCCTGCTCCAACCTGTTGCCAAGGTAACCTGCCCCAGGAGTTGCCCCTCCCCACTGGGAGCCACAGGTAGTTAATGGTGTGTCCTGGGCTGCTCCACCTGCCCTTCCCCCTTCAGCCCACCTGGCTCCCACCTTTGGCCATCCCACGGAGCATTCCTGGGCCTAGTCACGTCCACAGGAAGGAGAGAGAAAGGGGAAGAGGGCAGGAGAACACAGGAAGCCTAGGACTTATAAAAAGGCGGAACACCTCGCCTCTTGGGATACCAGGTGGCCCCCTCCTCCCTCCCGGGAGAAGTCCACGTTACCCCCTTAAATAAGCCCTGCTTTATGTGCTTCCTCGGCCTGCTTCCCTAATGTTGTACTTCAACCTGTGGGGAGCAGGACTGCCACCAGTAACCAGCAGTATCACTAGGAAGGTATAAATTGTGTTGTGGTTGAAGAGCGCCGCTGGTGGCCTCCAGGCTGGGGACAGTCTAGCTTCCTGTGATAACGAGTGGCTGATGGCAGAAAGCGAGACCTAGAGCCAGGACCACCTCTAGGGTGGGAGAGTAGACCTAATAGCACCCACTGGAATTGTCCACCTTCAGAAGGTGGGCACACACCGGGCTGAGACTGGCTCTACCACAAAGGCACAGAAGTGTCCCAGCCACCAGGAGGACAGGACCAAGGAGCCAGCCCAGGGTGGATGAGACCAGGCAGCTTGGGTGTGTTTCCCAGGGCTGCCTTAGGAGTGCCACAGGCTGGGGGGCATTTCCTCAGGATTGTGAGGGCTAGAGGTCCCAGATCAGGTGTCAAAAGACTGTTCCTCCAGGGCCACTCCTTGATCACAGATGGCGTGTTCTGCTGGTCCTCACGGGGTCATCCCACTGTGTGTGTCCTGATCTCCTCTTCTTACCAGACACCAGTCATATTGGACTGGAGCCCACCCTAAGGACCTGATTTTAACTTAATGACCTCATGAAGGCCGCGTTTCCAAAACACAGTCCCATCGTGAGGTTAGGGCTTTAGCACAGGACTTTGGGTGGAAGCCAAAGCCCCTAACCCAGCATTAGCCCGGCATCAGGCAGGCTGTGGCCTAGGCTCTCTGTGGACTGGACAGGAGGTCCGTCCGTGGGTGACAGCAGAATGGGAAGGACCGGAAGCAGCCTGTCAGGATGAAGGTCGGGACCTAAACTGAGCACAGTGCCTCCGGGTAGGTGGGAGGCCGGGCCTCTGAGAGGCTGCTCTGTAGACCAGGTACTACCCTGGTGGGAAGGGCCCCAGCAGCTGGGGCGGAAGTGCTGAGTCCTGGAGCCCTCCTGGACTCTGTAACCAGGACCCCCCTCTCCTCATGTGATTATGCCGCCACCACCGGCTGGTGGCAGTGTCCCGGGAACGCGTTCCAACCCGCAGACACGCCAGGAGCCTCAGAACTCCTTATCTGATTCTCAGTTCACAACAGTGATGTGATCTGAGCTTCTCAGAGTGACTGTTCTCACTGCCACACGCCCAGATGAGGACAACCCTGGTGTCCCTGGGAGCTTTGTGTGAAGGGATCACATGGCTCACAAATGAGTCAGGAGGGCTGGGTGTGAAGAAGTGGAAGGTGAGGGAATCCCAAGACCCAGAAAGGATAGAGACGCTCTTCCGACAGCTGCAATGTGGTCAGTGCCCAAGGGGGGCGCTGCAGATGCGTCAGTCCATCACTGACCAACAGGACACGTTCTGAGGAGCAGCGGGTTTCTGGGGATCTTATTGATATGCAAACATCATAGACCTCTAACTGTGACTCTGACTCACTAGGCAGCGTCACGCTGTGTGACCTTATACAGGAACACGCATGCACGTGTCACCACCATTTTGTCCCACAATTCACAGCAGTCAGCAAAAGCAGCATTGTTCACCCATAAACGGTTTGGTTTTTTTGTTTTTTTTTTTAAGAAAATAACTTTCCACAAGAAGGCAAAACCTTAAAGTGTGGTTTTCCTACATTCGGGGATGTAGGCTGTGCTGAGGGCTTTCTGGAGTGGACACTGGTGCTGGGAGGGTCACCCTCATGCAGAGACGGACTCAGAGGTAGGGAGGTGACCCCCAAGGGAAGCTCAGAGCTTGCCCTTCTGAGCTGCCCATGTTTGCACAGGGCTGTGCCCTGTTCTCTCTCCCCTGGAGGAATCGGCTTCCTCCTCTGGTAGCAAGAGAACAATAGCTAAACCCACTAGAAGGGCAGGTGAGCCTCGGGGGACAACCAGTGGGCAGCAGCTGTGAGACCCCTCTGCTCTGAGCCACAGAGTGGCTGGTGGAGACAGTGGGTGCCCCTCCCCCTGGCTATCTTTCTAAATCTCTGTAGCGCCAAGAATTTGACAAAGAGCAAACTAAAGACAGCCCTATTTTAAAAACTGAAATGCCATGGGGACTGTCACAATCAGCCAGGGCCAGGCATTTACTTCTCATGCCACCCTCAGCCCCCTCCTGCCAGAAAGGCTCCTGAGGGTCCCCTGCACTTTCCACAATCCCTGGGATGCTCAGTTTGAAAGGTGGCTCCTGCCCGGGGGAGTCCCCAGGAGCCCCAACCAGTGGGGAGCCAGCCCTTCCTAAGGTGGGGCACCCCAGCCCCCACCCGAAGGCACTCACTCTTGGCGGCTGCAGTGTGCCGCCTGCCTGCCCTGGATAAGGTGTGCGCTCACCAGCACCAGCCCCAGCAGAGTGGCAGGAGCTGGCAAGAGCCGCAGGTTGGAGAATCCAGCCCAGCCCCTGGGAAACCTCAGCCCCTTTGACACTGAGACCCTAATTCTGATCTGGGTCTAACAGGAGACGGTGCCCCAGCCCCACCCTTCTGGCTCAGTGTGGCACATCCAGAAAGGGCAACAGGTGACTCCCCTGCTCTGGATCCCTTCCCTCCCACACACTCAGAGGCAGAGGTGGGGTCGCACTCACCAGCAGCCACAGGGCGCATCTTCTGGGTGCTGCTCCCGCCTGCCTGGTCCTGGGGAGCTGCTCCCGCCTGCCTGGTCCTGCAACCTGCAGGAGCCACTGACTGGGCAGCAGGAAGGACCTGTCCTGGGGGCCGGCAGGAAAGGGGCGGGCCAGTATTAGCAAACGACAGGT